TAACTAGTTGAATTTAATCTGTAGAATAGTCTAATCTAACTCGTTAGAAAAAAACCTAAACTAACTAGTTATTATTCTTATTATTTTTTCACATTCCAAAATTCCAAAAGCTGTTTCTCAATCATGACATTATATGGTTATATGCCTATATAGATTATTGGCTCATATATATTATTAATTATTAGTATTTATAATAATGCACATTTTTTTATTTTGTTTCACCCTCTAATAACTAATAACTGATATACCAATTAATTGAAATTATTACTTACCTAGTTAGAACATTTTGATCAAATTACTAGGTGTTTAATTCAATTTTCAGTTTTAATCAATAGTTTAAGTTAGAAACTTATTATTTACATTTCAACAAAAAGGTTTTTTTAATCTATAAAAAAAAACTAACTTCTAACTTCTATTCTAACTTAAGTTACCTACTATTTTCACCAAACTAACTTCTAACTAACTAAGTTAGAAATTCGGACAGTTTCAGAAACTAACTTAAATTCTAACTTAGTTACTAAGTAACTTAACTCCAACTAGTTAAAAAAAATTGACTAACTTGCCCAGCTTTGTAAATATCCTTAATACAATATGTGCAATAATCAATCAATCAATGCAAATTTTTTTTAAATATTTACTATTTATATGTAGGTCGGACAATATAAAAACGAGAAAGACATTTTGTAATTTGATACTCACAGAAAATATAATGTTTCCATTGTGATCTTTTTTAATTACTTGTCGTTCTATATCATCAGAATCAAAATGATTTTCACAAATAACAAAATTATTTTTAAGTTTGATCCCAAGATTACTTTCCCATTGGGCTTTAAGTACATCATTTTTGGGACAACTAAACACAGATAATTTTGAATTTTTATTGCAACTAAAAAAACAAATTAAATTGGGCATATTTAAGTTGAAAGAAACAATTCTTAAAACAACTACAATTACAGCAGTATGATATTATATTAACAACTAACAAATATGTTTGTGAAAACAAAATTCTAAATTTATTATTCAGGAAGTATCAACATAATTTCTATTTCTATAATTCCATGTTCGTATGCAAACTACAAATTAATATCTATTTATGGCTCTATATTATTAAATATACAGGATGATACAGGAGCAAGCATGCTCACACCTTTTTTTCCTAAATAATACAGTTATTCAAAATCTGATTTTTGGAATTTTTGAATATACTTTAATATCATATTTTTAAATTCTTGAGATATTTTTTTACTACTTAAGAAGTTTTCAGTGGAGATACAAACTTCTGTTTTCAAATGAGAACAACCCCTTTTCAACTGTAAATTATACAGTGGATAATTTTTCTGAAATTTTTGACGTATCAAAATCAAAATTCGTACTGGTAGTTTTTGAGTTAATTATTAGAGGAAAAAATAGGGGTGAGCATGCTTGGTGAATCACTCTGTATAATACAATATTTCTGTTTTCTAATTTCAATTACCATAATAATAATTTATTGTGATGTTTAATTTTCGTTTGCCGCTAAAATATTTTTAATTTTATTCATAACCTCAATAAAGTTCAGACCGAGGCGCCTAATAAATTAGCGGCGAAAAACGTAACTAAAATGTCCTCTCTAAGCGACCGAATTGATTAACGTTGTTAAATAGGGAAGTGTCCAGACCTTATCTTCTAAGGCCGTGGTCTCGTCCTAGCTGGGGATGCTGGATTGCTGGCATTTTTGTTAAGCATTGGGTAGAGGGGGATCCTCGTATTGTGGTTGCTTTTTTGACAATCGTTTCAGCATGATTGGAGAAGTTGAGCTTGTAACTCCGAGATATTTCACGTAATTTGACCAAGAGATTTCGATGTTGTTTACTTCGAGTTTGATGTTCAAGTTTTGTGTAACGAGAATTTTTCTAAAATTTTTAACCATATGCTGTGAACCGTACCGACTAGTAAACCAGTGTGATTCCCGTCGTCCTCCAGGCTACGGTTGTACAATCATTGTACGCAATAACTCAACGGGAAATGGTTGTACAGACCTGGGTTTGAACTTTCCCTAAAGCCAACTAAATTCTTAACAATCGCCGGTGATCGATGTATCGGTGGCCAGTACCAGAAAAAAACCACCACAGGTCGTTATTTCCGCACTTCCGACCGGGTTTTCGTAGACCACGTTCGAAGTTCTTCCGTACGGCAGAAACCAGTCGAAAATCGACAAACACATTTTGGACGATTTCTTCACGAGTTTCCCGAGACCATAGTGTTCGCAGATTTCCAATCGACCGATTTTCCGATGAACAGTGGCTTTTCGAAAATGACCGTTATAGGTTTCCGCTGCTGTGCGGCGTCACCGACGTTTCTATCGCTGCAATTTTAACGGTGCAGACATTACTAATAAATTTACCTTAGTCGTACTTGAACTAATTATTTTGAATAAAGCATTATGATAATACGTCATTATAGGATTTTGGTGGAAACTCAATTTTAAATGAACAAAAATAACATATTTTTACATCATCAATCGTTCCGTTGCTGATTCATTACGATGTTGTACGCCATCTTGAAAGCCACGCAAATTAAAAATGATTTATAAAATTTTTTTATTAATGTTGTAGACACGATTATGGATTAGTAGTTAACTCCGAATCGAAACATAACACCATGACATAATATTAATTAATAAAATACAATATGCACTGTAGGTATAGACAGTAGGTAAATAATTCAAAGTATTATTTACAGCAGGCGATCTAATTTATAGCTGGTCTTATCCAAAATGATATGCTTCAAAGTCGTAGTCGATAACGTTTTAATTTAAACATGTTTTACAAGTTTTAATAACTGGTACCTATAGTATTCTGCCTACTTTCATACTTTTTTTATAAGTCCCAATAAAATATAAGCTTTTAAAGTATTTTAGACAATGTAGAATGACGTAGACAGTTTTTACATTGTTATGTGTAGAATAAATATAATTTCGGAAACATGATCATTTCATCACGCAGCATGGGATACAATAACGAATAATAATTTCAATCACACGTGTCGTCTGTAGTTTTTTAAATGATATAGACGTGTATTAAGAGAAGCCGCAGTGTTATGTAGGCATCAAAGTATTGTTCAATTGACTAACAACTAATAAGTAAACAAATGTGGGTAAGTGAGTTCCGTTCGACTGCACAGTTGGTGAAAAGTGGATCACTGTAATGTTAAAAATGTTAAATCAATCATATAAAGTAATCGTCAACGAAAACGATAGTTTATTCCAAGCAAAGACGATCCGTCAGCATGATATTGTATTATAACTAAGTGGTGAGTATATTTTAAAATGCCATTGCTATTAAAGTTATTTATTTTACTATTAGTGTGTTTAGTTAACTTGGTCCGAACACATTGCATAATATTATATTATTGTGTGTAAAAAATATAATGTTATATACCGTACTTTCAAAGGATCAAGTATCCTCGAATAATCTTTTTCATTTAAAGCATAATACCTAATACTATTATTTTAGATTCTTAGCGGAACGAGGAAGCTAGTGGTTTTACAGTGGTGTTTATTTTTTTTTTTATTATGTATACTAAATGTCTACCAGAACGAGTGCTTTGATTTCAATATACATAAATGGGAATTTAATTTCTAACGCTTTGTTCTTCATCATAGAAACGAATAAAAATGTTGTAATTTATAATATTAAATCAACATACAGGTTATAATAACAATATAAAATATCCAGACCGACGAACCGTCTCCGCTCAGAATCGTTTTTCGTATACAATGATATTGTGATATCATTGAATTCAAATTTAATACAATCCATTTCCATTATACAGTGACCCACTGTACAGAAGAGCGACATCCACTTACCCGCTTCTATGTTTTAGTGTTTTTGATTTCGTCACACATTTTATATTTAATAGTAATTATAAGTGAAAAAATATAGTAAGCATCAACAAAGTATGTGAACCTAATATTAATATAGTTAGAAGTTAATTAGTAATCCAGGGATACCTTTTGTATCCTGATCATTATTTTTCGTCTGACACGGCGGTATGCGAGGTGTTAAGAGAGAAAACCAAACTATCAAGACCATATTTCACAAACTGTGCTGGTAATCGGTATATTGGCTATTAAACTATTCTAATATTTTGAAAAGGACTATTTTATTTATATTCGGTGTTTTGGGTTGATTGGTGGCCCTGAAAAGGGCCGTTTTCGTTGTGTTTTTAGGGTAAACGGGAGACTTATTTGGAGCTGGTATATTTGGTCACAGCCTTGGTTCCTTCGCTGACCGCGTGTTTGGCCAGTTCACCTGGCAACAAAAGACGGACGGCGGTTTGAATTTCCCGGCTGGTTATGGTCGAACGTTTGTTGTAGAGAGCCAGACGACTGGATTCGGCGGCGATGCGCTCGAACAGGTCGTTGACGAAGCTGTTCATGATGCTCATGGCCTTTGAAGAAACACCGGTGTCTGGATGCACTTGCTTCAACACTTTGTAAATGTAGATAGCGTACGATTCTTTCCTCTTGGGCTTGCGCTTTTTGTCGGACTTGGCGATGTTCTTTTGAGCCTTGCCGGACGATTTCTTCATCGCTTTACCCGCCGATTTTCCTCCTGGAGCCATTTCGAATGATTAACGATATACTTGTTAACGACTGGACCGCTGTGGACTTAATGATGAGTTACGCAGTGGAACGGTGGGTATATTTAAACAAACCCAAGCGCTAAGTCGCTTGTCTATTTGTGAAAATACCATAATTATGACGGTAGAAATAGCATCGTAAACTACGCCGTAGTAATTCAGAATAGTAGAATCTAGACAAGTATTTTTCATGAGAATGCCGATTGAAAACAGCACATTACAATTGTGAATATATGAATAATGGTGTCATGTGTCATTGCCATATCGTCTTTTTCAAACCAATCACGGAACTGTTTTCCAGATTGTCCCTATAAATATAAAATCCAATGTTTGGCGTAATAATCATTAGTAAGCTTTTGAAACACCAAACAACAATCATGAGCGGAAGAGGCAAAGCAGGAAAAGCGAAAGGAGGCAAGTCCAAGACCAGGTCGTCTCGTGCCGGACTCCAGTTTCCGGTCGGTCGTATCCATCGTCTACTGAGAAAGGGAAACTACGCCGAGCGCGTCGGAGCCGGAGCTCCGGTTTACCTTGCCGCCGTCATGGAATACTTGGCAGCTGAAGTTTTGGAATTGGCCGGTAACGCCGCCCGGGACAACAAAAAGTCTCGTATCATTCCCAGACATTTGCAATTGGCTATCAGAAACGACGAGGAATTGAACAAATTGTTGTCCGGAGTAACTATCGCTCAAGGCGGTGTTTTACCCAACATCCAAGCTGTCCTCTTGCCCAAGAAAACAGAGAAAAAAGCTTAATTTTTGCTGTTTATTTCAAAAAAATTAAATAAAAACGGCCCTTATCAGGGCCACCAAAATGTATCAACCGAGCTCTTTCATTCTAATGTTTTCGCTCCTTGTAATCATTTGGGAGGAGCTCTCTGGTCGTGAACGCGCGTTACGCTAGATTATAGTTAAAAACTATCTATAATATGGAAATAGTCAAATTTGTAATCATCAGGGTGTTCCAAATTTCATGTGACGACAGATTTCACAATTCGTTTAAAATTTTCCAACCCTGATATTTCATTGTATGATTTTCGTTATTCAACAGATTATTTAAAACGAGATCAAAATCTGCCATTATATTATTAGTCCAACAGTCCTGATGAAGTTTCCTACTGTATTATTGATTTTAGTATCGAATAATAATATGGATAAAATGAAAATGTAATTCGGAAAAAAAGCCTACTTGGGGCAAAGCGAAGATCTTACCAAAACGCATAATTTTAGACGCGTCTAAGTCGATAGCCAAGGTATAAGTAACGAAAATTTATTATAACATCTTAGTATTTTTACTAGTTGTTAGAAATTATTATATTATGATACGAATATACGATGTATACACCTACGCAGGGGCGGAACTAGGGGGGTGAAGCCGGGGATTGATCCCCGGGCGTAAAATTTTAGTGGGCGTAATTTTTCTTTAGTTCTTTATTTAATGCTTGGTAATAGAAGTTAAGAAAACATTTTTATTTCACATTATTTGTTTATGATGTTGTAGTGATGTTGGAATTAATGAAAAAAAAAAAATAAAGTTAATAGTAAGATTATGAATAGATTCGTATTAGTATACTAAGTATATAGGTACTGGTATACTGGCATTAGCATAAATACTGCAAGCATATACAACTAATATACTATAAAGTATAATTATTAAGATTCTGAGTGAAAATGTAACTATACCTAGGCATTTATTGATGCTGTGTTTTCGTTAAAATTTCTGATACCTACACAATAACTGTTATAAGATTATCAATCAACTTACGATACGTATATTAAAAATGATGTTAATATATCATAGTTTATAATATTATATATTATAATATTTACCAAGATAGTTATACATTTGTTTATGTTTAAAAAAAAAGATTTGATTTTAAATATTTACTTTTTCATTTTTTCTATTATAAATTGTTTAATTAAATACAATTTTTTACTGGCCTAAATTGTGTACCCTAATCAGAATAAAAGATTTATTATTTTGTGATATGTGTATGAATGTATTTTATATATAATATTTATATATATGTACATTAGATATATTGTGTAATGTATATAAAATGTTCTGTTTGATTATTATTATTATTTTGTTTGTTTGATTGTTTGATTGATTTCTAAAGATTTTGTTACAAAATGTTTATGCCGATAAACCGGGTATGTATTTTAAATTTATCCTATTGAATGTTTATTAATATATTATTATACAAAATGACAAATTTATCGTAAGCCGACTACATTTTTTTAAAATTTTTATTCTGTAAATTAGGTAGTTTGTACACGTCAATACGTTTAGCCATGTCCTTCATATACTCTAGGTCTACATATAAACTTCCATTGTATGTATTGTAAGTGGTATTATTTATGGCCACTCACTATTTGAATGGTTTCAAGTACCATAATGATGTAAACACATTGAGTAATGTATGTCCAGTAAAAAAAAAAAAAAAAATACATATTGTAATAATATTATTTGGTTTAGTGGAAAACATTATAAATCTTTTATTTTGTTGCTGTATTAAAGCTTTTTTTGAATTTGTACAGCAAACCAATTATATCAAATGAGTAAATTAGTATTTAAATTTGTTAATCATTAGGTTTTGTGTATAATAAAGACATGTTGGATCTCGAATGGCTTGGGAGATATTTTATATCTGATTTTTTTTTGGCTTCAATAGTTTGAAAATAAGACAATTTTTTTTTTAAATCTCATCTTTACAAAAATATTATGGTAATGGGGTGAAGACTTATTAGTGACTAATAATAGTTATTACTTATTATATTAGGTTTTTTCAGTTTATGGGTACCTACCTAGGTGCATTCTATTGATTCTTGAAAATATTCTAAAATTCACCACATAATATTACATGTGCCTTTAATAGACAGTGGTACCAAAACATTTTTGAAATATGATATTAATAGAGCTGTAATTTTGAAAAAGCAAACAATCTACTATTCCATGAACGTGACATTATCGTTCAAATCATAGTCATTGTCATAATATGGTACTGCTATATGTCTGGTTTAAATGTACAAACAATGAGCAATGGACAGGGAGGGGTTGCTTGTTTATGCTTAGCAGCCCCTGTTTTAAAATAAGCACACTCATAAATTCATAATTTATACCATTTAAATTTTGTATTCATTTTTTAAAAATATTAATGTATTAAAAGTAGTTTTTATATACTATGAATATGATTAAAAATTGAAAGAGTGGTGTGGTGGGAAAAATTGCTCATTGTGTAATCCATGATTCATTATCATAAGACTATAAATGAAAAAATAGGGGGCCAACCCAAACATTCCCTACAGTGGCTCTCAAAATTCTTGTGGGGCATAATTCTTAATGTGTCACATGGGTTGGATATAATATGGTGGGTACCCAGCAAAATGCTGGTATTCCAATAACTCTGCTCAATAATGACTACCTATACTCGTCAATATTTAATTTTTGTACATCGGAGTTTGTAGACAAATGTTCAGGAATGTGAAAAAATTCCTGTTTTATCAATTATCAAAAAAAAAGTATCTAAAGTCTTAAAAAACTATAACAATTAAATTTTAGTAAAATATATTTCTTAAAAAATAATAAACTTATTTCATAACGACTTCAAATTATGTAAAAAATATATAACCTACACTAGTAATAGATTTTGTTTTTGTTCTTCATCCAATTCCAGTATTCATTAAAATCTTCCATTTTTGTATTTACAGCTCTTTCTTCCGTATCATTGTCCATTCACTACCTACTTGGAGGATTATATTGTATCATTTTAGTTTAATAATAAATATCATACACCTATAATCAGTGTTGTAAAGTAAGTATTTGAGTAAAAGTATTCAAATACTTTTTTTTACTATTGAATACTTATTTTTTATTCTTTTTATTCTTAATTTGTTTCTTCTTATAATTATTCTTGTTAAATAAAAACCACACACAGACAATTTGGTATCGGTTTTTGTCGAATAAATTTTTTTTTCTCCAGGAGACAGCTTATTGTCGACGAAGATCGAAAAGATACATCTGTAGTCGGTATCACTATAATTAGCTTAAGTCAATAACAAAATATATGATAGGTATGTAAAAAGCTTCTGCTTATAGGCTATTATACTTTATAATTATTTAACTATACGAAAATATTATTACTAGGTAATTATTAGTACCTACTAATTATTTACCAAGATAATTTTTATCAATAATTATCATTATCGTTTATCGTCGACGGTGGTATGGGATATCCAATTACATAATATTATAGTTTTGAATTAATACATAACTTTGTAGAGTAAAGTTCATTGTTGTGGTGCAACTAACATGACTGATCAGAATTTTGATTATTGAACAAATCATGTTTTTAAAATACAATAAACACATTTTTGAATATTACAAATTATTTCAGCACTAAAAAGTAAAAAGAATATTTATATAATGAATATAATTTCAAATACTTCTGAAAAGTACCTATTTGAGTAGGTATTGCTCAAATACTTTACTATTTATAGTATTTGGGCGGTATTTTAAATACTTTATTTTAAGAGTATTTGAGTAATTAGTAATTACTTAAATACTTTTAAAAAGTATATTTTACAACACTGCCTATAATATAATAGGAATAAATGGAAACAAGCCAACAAATACCTACCTACAAATTAATACAATAATATTATCGTCTGTCATAATATTTGGTCTACAATATTCTAGTATAAAATACAAGGTGTAACAGAAAGACTTGAAGAAAAAAAAATGATGCTAATTAAAAGTATGACAAAAATTGTTAATAACTGTAAATAATTTAAAATTAATTTTATTTTCAGTATAAAAAAATAAAAATAATTTTTTGTGTAGCGCAAGTGACAATAATACATTGAATATAAAAATAAAAATGTTTAAATATTGATTAGAACAAAAGTTTTTGGAAAGGCAGTTTTATCTGTTACACTCTGTATAAGAAACTGAATTAATAAAAATATTATATTCTCTTAGATTCGACATAAAAAAAAAAAATATATTAAAATCAGTGAAAAAATAATAGCTCAATTACCGCCTCCATCGACGGCGTGTAAATGCATCGACTTAAATAGAAGTATTTCTCGACTTACTTTCGACCTAGAGCCGTGGAACTCTCCTGTAATAAATTTGGCTGCTCGGAGGTCGGAATGCTTGGATGGTTTGAGTTGCCCACATTGTTACAATTATATGATTAGTAAATAATTTGAGAAATATCCTCATATCAGCAAATTCCCCAGCAAAAAATATCTTGAAAAAGCCTCTACACTAGCTTTATCACAAAAACTGTGGACGCAAAACCATAACATATTTATGTCGAATATTCAACTGGTGCAAACGACTCAACTACTGATCGCGGACAAGAGTCACCTCGCGCTCCTCCATTTAGGATGAGGTACTTAAGGTGTGTACCAATTTTCAGCTCTATGCGAATTATTCCGAAGTTAAATGTCTATTTTGACCGGACTACATAGATATTTTTCATGACAAACTCCCGACGTTTAACGACCAAGTAACAAGCATGTTGTTGATAATTTACCCTAGGTCACTTATGTCTATTGGTCAAAAGTCGGTAGTATAAAATAATATTGGTGGCCCTGATAAGGGCCTTTTTTTTTAAAATGTATGTGGATGCGTGTAGGTTAGCCTCCGAAACCGTAAAGGGTACGGCCTTGTCGTTTCAGCGCGTAGACGACGTCCATGGCGGTGACTGTTTTCCGCTTGGCGTGTTCGGTATATGTTACGGCATCGC